AAAAAAAAAAAAACAATATTTGCAATGAAGAAATCATTGCTCTTGGAAAATTCTATCATGTGATCTCTCCAGCATCTTCTCTATCACCAACACCATACTTTCCAACTACTGATCCTTCATCTTTCTTTCCAAACTTTGCATTCCAATTGACAGTAATTATCAATACATCTTGAGTGCATGTTTGATCAGTTTCAGAATTCTACAATATTATCATCACTGGCTTTAGTGTTTGGTGTATAAATCTTAATAATATTGGTAAAAGCTGGTCTTCTTTGTAGGCATATGGATAATATCCTATTATAGACAGTGTTGTTTTTGAGAAATATCTTGATATGTTCTTTTTGACAATCAATGTGATGCCATTCCTCTTCAATTTCTCATTTCTTGCATAGTAAACCACGTGATTGTCAGTTTCAAAATGGTCAGTACAGTCTATTTGAGCTCACTAGTGCCTAGGAAATCAATGTTTATATGTTCCATTGTATTTTTTTTACCATTTCCAGTTTTCCTAGATTCATACTTCATATATTCCATGATCTGATTATTAATAGATGTTTACAGCTCTCTCACTTCATTTTGAGTTTAGCACCATCATCAAATGAAGGTCTCAAAGGCTTTAATCTAGTCTCATCATCACAGTCAGCTGTGCTTTGAGGCGGCAGCCCTTTCCTACTGTATCCTGAGTGCCTTCAAACCTGAGGGGCTCATATTCAGGAACTATATCTGACAGTATTCTAGCATAATTCATCAGGCTTCAATGTTCAATGTTCTGGTGTTGACTGGGTTCCACTACTATTCATACGGTTTTCAGTGACTAAATATTCAGAAGTACTCCATTTCTCCTTCCTAGTCTGTCTGCATCTGGAATCACAGCTGAAACATGCCCACCATAGGTGACCCTTCAAGTATTTAAAATACCCATGACATAACTTCCAGAATCATAGCATCACATAAGCCACCACAGTATGGCAAACTGACACACAAGTGGTGGGTAGAGATCGTTAGGATTAAAGAATTGGTACCTTTGAAAAAGAGGTGTAATGACTGAGAAAAATGACTTTTTCTTTTATGTGATTTTGTTTTTAAACCAAAGACATAATTGTGCAAAGGAACAGAAGTTGATCTGCTAAAGCCAACATCAGAAGGCTTTAGCCTGAAAAACCTGCTGGAAACGGAGTACAGTGAATAAGGAAGAAGAGACACAGGTCAGGATCTAGGGAAGAAGTGTTGAACTTCAGAGAATTGGGTCACATCTTAGGAAACTCCCAGATTCAGAGGAGGTGGTGGTGGTGATAATGTGCCATGGAGTTGGTTCCGACTCACAGTGACCCTGTATAGGGTTTCCGAGACTGTAAATCTTTACACGACCAGAAAGCCTCATCTTTTTCCCATGGAACAGCTGGTAGTTTCAAACTGCTGACCTTGCGGTTCACAGCCCGATTCATAACCTTTATGCTACCAGAAATTCAGAGGGTAATCATAGAAAAAGAAGGAAGAGAAGGAGACCAGGAAGGACTTAAAATATGAGAGTTTAGAGTAAAGACATGAGGAAGCTGATACATCAAGGGATTAAATCTCACTGCATCTTATTCAGCAGTGGAGAGAACTGGAACTTGGCTACATACCTCAGGTCCATCTATCTGCATGGGACTTGCTGACAGCGCTCATACAACATAAGATAAGGTTCCATAGGAAATGTGCAGTGGTAGAGTAATGGTCCCCTAAAGATTCTCATACACTAATCCCTGGAGCCTGTTAAAATGTTGCCTTGTGTAGAAAATCGGCTTTCAAATGTGTGTAAGGTCAATGGTCTGGAGATTGGAGAATTCATCTGGATTGCCAAGGTAAGCCTGGGATCTAATAACACGAGTCCTTTAAGCAGAGAACTTTTTATGTCTGTGATTGCCTAGAGCTGTAACAGTGAAGGAAGCATCAGGGATGACATGCTGCTGACTTGGGAGACTCAGGAAAGACCTTGAACCAAGGAATGCAGGAGGCGTCTTTGTTGTCTTTGTTGTTGTTTTGAATGGCATCAAGTTGGTTTGGACTCACAGTGAGTCTGTATAAAGTTTCCAAGGAGCAACTGATAAATTTGAATCACTGGCCTTGTGGTTCAAACTGACCTTGCAGTCTAGTGCTTTAGCCCAAGTGCTACACCCTGTTCCTAGGGGGTAGAAAAGCCAAGGAAACAGATTTTCCCTTGAGCCTCCTCCAAAAGGAGCAGAGAAAGCTCTGCCGACACCTTGATTTTAGTACAATGAGACCTATGTCACAATTTAATCTTAATAACTATAAAATCATAAATCTGTACGGTTTCAGCCAATAGATTTATGATGATTTGTTATGGTAGCTACAAGGAGCAAACATACAATGTAAGCATGTATTTTCCAACATGAACATTCCTCAACAGAGAATCAAAGACACCAAATTCCCTTGATTGTTTCCTGATCCCTGCTAAACTTCCCACACATATGTCAGGACACACAGCCTCTCAGATATACAGAGAAAGAGTACAAGTCCGGGTACTGTATGGAAACATCAGCTGTGCTGTAGAGACTCACTGAGACACAGCCAAGGGAGGAAGTTTCTGTGCCCGGATGAAACTCTGTGCGTGGTAAGCTATTACGTTGCTGACAGCAATAAACTGCCACATCTTCAGCTTGGAGACTGTTGATGCTGAGAGTGAACTTTGTCCCACACCCACTGCCATGGAACCAGTTGGAGACCCCAGAAGCCAGGAAGGATACCCAATAGTTGAGAAGCTTGGGAGCCTGTCCTGGTTTCTGCTGGTACCAGTCTATGTTTGTGCCCACACTCTGACTGCATTTGTAGTTGATGATGACCATTTCTCCTGGAGACCCAGACAGGAAGGCTGGAAACTGGGTCATCACAATGACCCCAGTGGTCACTGAAATCATAGTGGACAATTACCATGGATTAGTGCACTAAGTCAAGATATGATAAAACATGTTTTCTAAAACTACTTTTCTTACAGTGTTAGATGTCTAACTGAGTCTGTTTAGGCAATAACCATGATTTCACTGTGTATCTAAAGTCATTTTCCTCCTCTACACAGATAGTCATTGAGTTGCATAGAAGTGATTGTCGATCTCTCACCTGAGACCCAGAACAGCATCACCATAAGAAGCTGGGTCTGTGCCTTCATCATTCCACAACTTCTCCTTCTGATGTAACTCAGATCACACCGAGGGAAGGCAGCCCATTTTAAAGGTCTGAGTAGCTGCTAAGACCCACAGGGGCCTATGTGAAGTAGGCAATGGTTATGAAAGCAAATCTCATGGGCAGTGTAGTTTTCAAATACGTAAGGTAATAAAGAGTCAAAAATATCCTCCTCACATGAGCATTAAGATCATTGTATTGAATGAAGCAAGTCATTCACAAAAGGACAAATATCATACTATCTGCAACTCATAAAAACCAGGCAAATATATATGGAACCACAGCTTATTAGTGATTACTAAGGCTGAGAGAGGGGGAGGAAAGGGGGCTCTGAGTTTCTATTCATGCTGGTGGAATCATCTGGAACAGGAGAACGGTAGTGGTGGGACAACATTACAAACATGATCAATGTCAACAAGTTATATGAGAGGGCTTCAGAAAGTTCATAGAAAAATGGAATTCACAGATAATGGCATTGTCTTATATATGCAAAAATTATTGAATTAGCAAATGTTTGGGATTGTGTGTGTGTGTATATATATATATATATATATTATAGGAGTCCTGGTGTGGCACTGGGAGTTAATGTGTCAGACTACAAAGCCTTTTGAACTGCAAGGTTGGCACTTCAAGCTCACCAGCTGCTCCTTGGAAATGCTATACAGGGTTGCTATGGGTCGGAATCAACTCAACAGCACTCAACAACAACAGGTATATACTTGTTGTTGTTGTTGTTATGTACCGTGGAGTCGATTCTGACTCATAGTGACCCTGCACAGGGATTCCGAGGCTGTAAATCTTTACGGGAGCAAACCACCTCATCTTTCTCCCATGAAACCACTAGTAGTTTCAAAATGCTGACCTTGAGGTTGGCAGCCCGACTCATAACCACTATGCTACCAGAGTTCATTATGTATCTACTACAATAAGAAAAATATAAATAAATAATTATCACAATAGAGAAAATGTGCCTGCAGGCTGTGATAGATACAGAGTCTAACTTAGAATTTCTGATTTCAATAACAGTGAGAAACAACTTACAATATAAAATATATTGTTGAACTAACATTCTCTTGTGTAAGCTACTTGTTGTGAAGTGCCATTGAGGCAGTTCTAACCTTTACAGGGTTTCCGAGGAGTAAATGGTGAGCTTGAACCACCGAATTGCAGTTCAAATGGCTGTGCAGTCTGATGCATTAACCCACAGTGCCACACCAGGATTCCGTGTAAGCTACTACCAACAAGATAAATAAAAAGAAAGCTTCATTAGGAAGTTGTGACTACAGAGAGATCCCTACCTAGATTCAAACCACATACCTGCATGGTCTAAGTGGACCTTGGAACTTTCCAACCTTGAATTGGATTTAGCAGGACCAGCTTACTACTAGAGCCACCAAGCACCTGAAACACAAAAGTTAAACTTTTCTTAAGGAGAACATCCATTCTAAGTATACAGACTCTCCATAAATAATATTGAAAGGTCAGAATAGCAAACATGAGAATATATCTAGGAACACGGAAACTAGTAGGTGAGATTACACTCATTAAAAAGAACCAAACTGCATTTCTAGAAAATAGATATGTAACGTCATACAACGTAATGTGCATCAAGTCAGTTCTGATGCATAGAAACCCTACATAGGGTTTCCAAGGTGCAGCTGGTGCAGCAAACCTAGCTGTTCAAACCGACCTTATGGTCCACTATTTATCCTACAGCATCAGACCAGGACTCCAGAAAATAGATCTGGAAAACCAAAAACACAAGCCTTTACAGTGCTAGATAATAAAGCAGAAAGCAATTCAGGATGCTATATAGAGAGACAAAGATGAAAAGCACAGGCACAGAGGATATAGGGAAAAACAACATGACACCTAGTCTGGAGAGGAAAAAGAGTTAGTGGACAAATGCAATATTTGAATAGCCAACACTTTTAAAAGACACAGATTTATACATTCTGGGGCCAAATTCCATTCTATGTAATGATTTCATAAATACAAACTTAAGCAAATGGCACAAAGTGAAAGACAAAGACAAAGATTAGAAGTAGACAGAGAAATAACACAGATAACCTGCATGAGATCAACATTTATACAAAGAGCTGACTCCCACAGCAGTAACAATGAAAGCATAGGACAATACAGGGATATCTTGAAAGTACTATAAGATAATACCTACATACCAAATACTGTACACATAAAAGTTCACCCTAGTATTGAGGCACTAAAAGGACATTTTTTAACAAAATAGAACTGCAACTCTTTTTACATGGTTATGCCAATGGCATTAATTATATCCATGTTGTTCAATCATTGTACCTATCCATTTCCAAAAATTTTTTCATCACCCTTAACAGAAAGCCATATGAACAAACAATTAATTTTGCTTAGATCCACAATCAACAATCATGACACCAGCAGTCAAGAAATCTATGCCATATTACATTAGACAAATCTGCTACATAAGACCTCTCTAAAGGGTTCAAGAGCAAACTTATGAGTTTGAAGATTAAGAAGTATGCCTGACCCAAACCATGGTATTTTCAATCGCCACATATGGAAGACCAAGGAAGAATTGATGCATTTGAGTTATGGTATTGGGGAATAATATTGAAAGTACCATGACGCCAGAAGAAATAAACCTATCTGTGTTGTAACAAGTACAGCTGGAATGTTCCTTAAAAGACAGGCTGGTGAGACTTGGTTTCTCAAACATCAGAAATGTTATTAGGCGAGATCTTTACCTTGAGAAACACATCGTGCATGTTAAAGTGGAGGGTACTGAAACAGAGGAAGACTCTCAAGGACATTGATTGGGACACTGGCAACAGTAATGGTCTCATGTGTAACAACAATGGTAAGGATGGCACAGGATAGAGCGGAGTTTTATTTTGTTGTGTATAGGGTCTCTAAGAGCTGTAACTGACTCAGAGGAACTTAACAACAACAACATTATACATGAAGTTTCTGTACGTCCCTGACTTTTTTTTTTTTTAAGTGTTGACTGAGCACTTATTTATTGTTTCATTTTGCTCTCCTTCAGTGTGTTATAAATTTATAATTCTTTAGTGATTCTTCAACAAATTTATAACACACATATGAATCCTATCAATGTCTAAAATTAACCAAAACATACAGTGTACTCATTACTAAAATAGAGACCTTGTTTTTGTTGTTACGTGCCATCTAGTCAATTGTAACTCATAGCAACTCTGTATAGGATGTCCAAGGAGTGATTGGTGAGTTTGAACTGCCAACCTTGTGATTCAAAATTACCTTGCTGTCCAGTGCATTATCCTACAGTGCTACACCAGGACTCAAATAATAATTGTTGTTGTTGTTAAGTTCTTCAACTCTTGCAACTCCTTTATAGAGTCCAGTGATACTGATCTCATGGTTCAACATGTTTGGAATGAACTCAACAGCTATTACATATATTGATATAAAGCGTCTGACTTCCAGAACTATAACAGATAAATTTTTATTGGATTAGATACCACATTTATGCTGATTCATTATAGCAATCAAAGGAAACTAATACAGCGATTAAAAAAAAAATTGAGATGTTCCACTTGTGAAGAAAAAGTTAAAAAAAATCATAATAATAGTAATAGCCAAGATTATATGTACACAAATACCATTCAAACCATTTAGTTTTATTGACTCATCTAGCTTTCCAACAACTCTACAAAATAGCTAGTACCATTATATTCACTCTACGTACAAGGAAATATTGTCACTGAGTATTTTAGTAACTTACTCAAGGTCACATGGCAAGGAAGGGACAAAGCTTTAATTAAAAATGATACCTGATGAATCAAGACGATGAGAAATATGTTCACATTTACAGATAATAAGGAGACCTACTGTGGTGCTGTAAAATAATCATCAGACTGCTAACCACAAAATTGGCAGATCAAGGCTACCAGCTGCTCCTTTGAAACCCTATACAGGATCTCTAAGAATTAGCACTGACTCAACAGCATTTAACAAACACAAGGATGAGATAATTGGAGCATGGCCTTTATAAGAGAAGTACAGCTGAGAGAAATGACCTTCCTTTCTTTAATTTTACTTTGTTTTAACATCAAAAGATAACACAGGACAGACCTAAGGAAAATAGTGTCCAGAAGAAAGGGACAGAGGGAAACAGACTACAATGTTGGTGGCTCTGATTCTGATTACGGCATAATAGGATTGAAAGAGTAAGGAAAGAAATGGGAATAAGTTAAAAGAAGAAAGTTTAGAGGGCTACAGCAGAGAGTGAAGCACCCAGCTGATAAAAAATGAGGGGAGATGCACAAGAACACCCAAACTATTTGACCTAGCTTTGATGAATTGATAATCAGAACTCAACTAGAGGAAGATTTAAAAAAAAAGAAAGAAAGAAAGAAGGAAGGAAGGAAGGAAGAGCAAAACAATTTTTGATAAAGGAAACAAGGGTAATATGCTACAATTTTATGAACTTGACCTATACTCATGGAGGTGGTGGTGATGGTTATGTGCCATGGAGTTTGTTCTGACTCATAGTGACTCTGTACAGGGATTCCAAGGCTTTAAATCTTTACAGAAGCAGAAAGATTTATATGGAACAGCTGGTAATTTCGAACTGCTGACCCGGAGGTTAGCAGCCCGATTCATAAGCACTATAGTACCAAAGTTCCTTATTAATGGAGGTAGTAACTCTAAATACCAACAGAGAGGGAAGGAGTCTTCACATCAAGTATCAGTCCTATCCCCT